CTCCTCATCCTCATCCTCACCGTCTTCGTCGTCAGCATCATCATAACCATCGGATCATCATTATCATCCTCATCATCATCATCATCATCATCAACAACATCATCCGTTATGGGATGTGGCGTGTTGGAAGTACCCATCTACGGCATCCACGTGTTCCGTAAGCTTCAGCGATCAGGTCTTATGGGCATGCCCTTCGATATGTTTCTCTCAGCGCTGGCATATCCATAGTTCGTCGTCGATTACTTCTGTTTCGCTGCGGCCGAGGAGAAAGTCAACTTAATGTGTAATTCGCTTCGCCATAAATCGCGATAGTCTCAGATGTTGTATCACTCTTGTGATAGCGGAATATCCTGGAATATCCTCCTCCTCCTCCTCCTCCTCCTCCTCCTCCTCCTCCTCCTCCTCCTCCTCCTACCCCTTGACTCCCAACGCGCACCTCCTGCCTTCTGCATCCGGTCTTCTCTTCATCCTCCTCCCCCTCCTCCTACATTCCCCCCCTCCTACTTCCTGCCTCCTCCCCCTCCTCCTCCCAACTGATCCACCAAGGACGACGACAGCGACGGCGACGGCAACGTCGGCAGCGACGACGACGACGAGAACGACGACGACGAAGACGACAACGACGACAGACGACGACGACGGCGGCGAGAAGGACGACATTCACGACGACGACGACGACGACAACGACGACCACGACCACGACCACGACCACGTCCACGACCACGACCACGACCGCGACCACGACGACAAAGACGACGTTGGAAACTACGAAAACGATGGCGATGGAGACGTAGTCGCCGTCCGGAACAAACGTCGGGCCACGCCTTCGGCGGTCTCCTGGTCTGCCCGCGGACACCCGTGGCGATTGCCACCGCCGCCGCCTTGCCCATCGGTCGCGGCGGCGCAGGCCCGCTGAGACGGTGGGGGGGGGCCTCGCAAATGGCGAACGAACAACACACACACACACACACACTCATACCCACATGTAGGGAGTCGGAGGGAGGAGGACTGGCTCTGGGTCCATCCGACACCACGCACCCACAGCCCCATCCGCCCCCCCTCCAGGTATGGGTGGGTGCTGCTCGTTCGTCAGCAGAGGCCTGCTCACCCACCCCTCGCCCTGTATCAGCCGGCAAGAGCTTCGGCAAGCGCTGCTGCACGGCACGTCGCTGGCGCAGCCAGCTACTGGCCCACGGGGGCTGAGCCAGCGAGCTCACAAGCCTGTTGCTCGACCAGGGCTTAGGTCGGCTCGACCAGGCGAATTTTGGAAGAAAAATTGGAAACAGCCAAACAAGATTCAGAAATAGTCAAAGTAGCACGGAAAATCGTCCCCTGGCGATTTGTTTGACGATTTTTTGAATGTTCCTCCCGCAAGAAGGACACGCCCGACTTAAATCTGGGCCCCCCTTTGGGGTCCGTCACGGACCCTCTCCCCGTCGCCTCATATTTATAGATTACGTACATCAACATACCGACACACATGTACATACATACATATATATGTATATATATATATATATATATATATACAAGACTATATATATATATATATATATATACAAGACTGCAGTGGGGCTTCGCGCCATGCACCTTGGTCCTTGAAGTTTCGCATGCAGGCAGAATAGCAGGAAGGTCAAGCCGACAATTTAGCGATAACTCCTTGTTTCCTTTTCCGGCATCGCCGCTGTAATAATGTTATTCGTTATCCTTCCTCCATGCTGATTTTCCTCATTTTCGCCATACCCTGCGCATTCTCCCCATCCTCCTCAGTTTTTTTTTTGCGGAGGCTCCTCCATGGAGAGCCTCTTGCTTCCTCGGGCCGCCCTGCCTCCAACCGCGGTCTCCCTGAGCGACCGGGTCACGATTTGGAATGCTTCGGAGGGTGTCTTGGGCCACTAGGCTCCATGGCTCTGTAGAGCCACCTTGGACCCGTTTGGCCGGTTTTGGGGCTCTCTGACTGCCTGAAGCCCTTTCGGATGTAGTGGATGATTTTGCACCTCCAGCGACTTTCGGACCCGGAAGAACCGCCGTCTTGGGAGCGTCGGGAAGCGAAAGAGGAGAACCCCAAATTCCCAAAAAGCATCCGAAAATCAATGATTTTTGCCTCGTGGGCTGCTTAGAAGTGCTCTTGGAGCCTCTTTGGGGCCGCCCTGAGCCTCTTGGGCCATCTTGAGGTCAGTCGACCACGCTTAGCGCTCTTGTGCTGTCTTGGGGTCTCTGGGACGTCTCCGATGACCCCCTGATCGCCCTAGGTGTGCTGGGAAGGCTTGGCAAAACGCCCTGCGAGGCCCAGGGGGCCGCTTCGAGGCCCGTCCGGAGGGTCCCAAGGCTGCAGATCCCGGGAGTCCGGTTTTGAGGGGGAGGGGTTCCCCCCGCCCGGGCTTATAAGAGGAATATATATATATATACACACACACACACACCTGTATGCCAATATATGTATGGCGTGCATGCACGTGCGCGCGTAAGGCATGTATGCACGTATTCGCACGCGAATGTGCACGCGCACGCACGCCGCCCGCGTGCGAAACTCGAAGGACCAAGGTGCATGGCGCGAAGCGCCACTGCAGTCTTGTATATATATATATATACATACATACATATATATATATAATCTATGTTTGCGCATACATATGTATCATGTCTACTTGGGCAAATCTACGTGTACACACATGCATGTCTATATACATGTACGCGGTGGTGGCCACAGAGGAGGGACCGGAAACGCAGTGAAGGGCTCGCGAGTGCCGAAAGACTTGGGTAAGAGACGGCATGGAGGACACAGCAGAATGTCGAACGGCGACCTGGGCTTACCAATGACCGTGTCTTTGGGACTATGGAAGGAGCCGTGTGAGGGCCTTGGGGGGCCTCGGGACCGCGTCGCAGCGGGGCTCGATTATCTCGACGCTGAAGCTGTTTTGCGCCGCCGTACGCTCTTGGGGGCCTCGCGTTCAGAATGTTAACGTCAAATGGACCTCATTGGAGCCTCCCCGAGCCTCCTGAGGGCCTCTGCATGTGGGACGTGGTGCAGCCCCTTATGGCTTATGCTTGTCTTGGGGCGCGTATTGGATCTGTTGGGCTGTCTTAGGGTCATGTTCGGGTTCCTGACCCATTTTGGGCCTGTCTTGGGGGCCTTTTCGGGCGTTTTCGAACTTCTGTGGGGTCCTTGCGGAATCTTTTGGGACTCTTGGGGACCTCTTGAAGCTTCCTGAAGGTCTCTTGGGGGTCTCTGAGGGCCCTTTCTGGGCCTCTTGAGAACCTCCTGGGGCCTCCTGGGGCCCTGTCGGGACTGTCTGGGAGGAGGTCCAAAAAGAGGAAAACGAAGAAAGGGTAGAGGTATGGGTACCTTTTCCTCCTTGGATTCTCACTTCCCCCCCTCGCTCGCCGACGCTCCCGCCTCTCTTCTCCGCGCGGATCTCGCGCACGCCGCCCGCGGCTGGGGGGCCCTGCACACAGCAGTGCGTCCGGGCGTGAGGCCTCGCCGCCGCGTCCCGCGGCAGGACGCCCCTGCCGAGGCCCAGGCCGCAGCGCTCTCCGCCCCGAGATCTCTCCGGGGGGGGAGCGGAGACAACAGCACAGCAGGAGCACAGCAGGAGCACGGAACCTCCGCACGCCGCCATTTTCTTCACACCAGCCGTGGTCGCCCGGTTTCGGGGCGCGGGGTCCTCGCAGATCGATCCGGCCCGAGAACTGAAGCAGAAAGTTGGGGTCCGGGACTCGGGTCGTGGTTTTTCGCGGTGGTGCTACAGTAGGAGCTCGACCACAAGAAACCTTCCACGAGAAACCTAACCCTGAGACCCCAGGGCGTCCGTCCATTTTTTTGGCATGGGAGCGTCACGCCTTACACAGCAAAACCATCGAAAGCCAAGAAACCCAGGGCACCCTGGAGGCCCGCAGGGTGTTTCTTGGCATGGATTTCGCGCAGTCGCGCCCTGGCAGCACCCGTGGGTGCGCCACCGCCTCGGCCCCGGCTGCTGCCACGATCAACGCTGCCTCGGTCGGTCGCCCTGGCCCCCTCGACGCGGAACTCTTCCACGTCTGAGCGCTCTTCCCTCCCCCCGCGCAGCCGCTCTCATCTTTCCCACCCCCTCTTGCACGCCAGCCAATTAGCCTTTCGGCTGCCCCGACATGCCACACGCTGGAGCGGACTGCCTCTGCCTCGCCGCCGACGAAAAAAGTCTCGCGCAGTCGGATCTCGGGGGGGCCCGCTCGGCCGCGAGACGAGGCTCAAAGCTCCAGGCTCCTTGCGGGCGGGAAACCATCTCCGCATCTGCGGCCTCCCGGCCCGCACTCCTCCCGCGGCCCCGTGGACGTGCAGGGCGACGATGCGCGGGCGCCCCGCGAGAAGCGCATCCACGGGCCGGCGCAGCCATCCCTGGGGTCGCGCCTCGGTGCTCGGGCCGCCAAGGCTTGAACTTCGGAAACCCTGAGCCCAAAAACGTTGTCACCTCTTGGGGGGCACATCCTCTCCTTTCCCGCCGAGCTTCCGCCGAGCCTCCGCCGGCCTCCACCGGCGGAGGCGGCCTCGTGTTACTCCCGCCGACCTGCCGCCGCCCCGGAAGAGATGGCCACCCCTTCGACCCTCGAAGGCCCGGGCCCGTCTTGGAGCGCCCCACGTGCTTCGCTCTTGAGGTCTGGGCTCGGGGAGGAAGCATCCCAGACGTCCCTGGCGCTTCCTGGGCCCCCACTCAAGGGGACCTCCCGGTGCCTCCCTGGGACCTCCGTGGAGACCTCTGGAGACCTCCAGAAGACCCCACGGAGGCCCCTGGGCGCTCGGTGCCCAGGCGGGCCCCCATCCGGACCACCCGCTGCTGGAGCCGAGCGCCTCGGCTGCTCGCTGAGCCGCCGCAGAGGCCCAGAGAGCCGCCGAGTCGAGGAGAGCAGGAAAGGGGAACTCGCTCCGAGGGGGGTGGGCATCGCCCCGGCGTCGGCGGCACGTCGACGACGTATATCGTCGAGAAGGCGCTCCTCGGCGGGGTGGGCTGCAGTCAGGCCCCCATCGGCGAGCAGTGGGCAACCAGGGGTCCGTGCATGCCCCCCTGGGCAGATCCCCCCCCCTTGAGTGTTGCCCCTGGCAATATAGCCAGGAGGTCTCGGGTCCAGCACCCCTGACGCCTGGGCTCGGCAGGGGGGCCCCGGGGAAGCCCCACCGTCAGGGGGGAGCCCGTGGCCTCTTTGAGCCGCCGGGGCGCCCCCCCGCAGCAGCCGCGGTCGCTGGAGGCAGAGAAGACGAGGACCACGACCAGGACGGATCGCGGAGACGTCGGTGTCGATCCTGGTCACCGTCCCTCTCGGTCATCGCCAATTCGCTCGTCATCCTCTCGAAGCGGCGTGTCCTCCTCTCTCTCATCTGGTCTTGTGCCATCCTGGTCATCGTCACCGTCCAACTAGGTCACCGTCCAATTCGTGGGTCATCCTCTTGAAGCGGCGACGGCCAGCATGGACATGACCGAGATCGGCGTCGACAGGGTCCCACGACGTGGTCATGGCCTCTGTGTTCCTTCCCTCTCGATTCGCGAGCATGCGCTCTATTTGCCATGCAGCCAAAGGGGTCAGAAGACGACAGGGTCCTGGGCCCAGGGGCTTTCCTGGAGCCGCGTGGCCTTCCTGATGAGCACAGGCACCAGCCCCAAGTGCATGTGACCTTCTCTGGGACCCTACAGGAAGGCCCCCATGGCCAAGGACCCCGTGGCTCGTGGCGAGCTCCAGGAGATAGGCACGCGACCGAAACTCTCAGCCCCTTCCTTGTTTTTGGGAAGGTACGCACCTTCTCTTCCTTCTCGTTCTCCTCCTCCTCCTTCTCCTCCTCCTCCTCCTCAACCTCCTCGCCAAACATTGACTAACGAAAAACCGTGGCGTCTCCTCTTCCTCCTGATCTTCCTCCTCGTCCTCCTACTCCTCATCATCATCAACATCATCCTCATCCTCATCCGCAACACCATCGTTACCGTCGTCGTTATCATCATCAGCAGCAGCATCACCATCTTCGATATCATCGTCATAATCATAACCACCATCACCACCATCACTATAACCACCACCATCACCATCATCATCAGCATCATCATCAAGTTCATCATCAAGGTCATCAGCATCATCATCACCATCATCATCAGCAGCAGCATCGTCGTCATCATCATCATCGTCATCGCCCTCAGTTTTACCATCACCATCACTATCACCATAAGCATCAGCATCATCAGCTCATCATCCCACCTCATCCTCCTCCACCTCCTCCTCATCCGGCGGCAGCCTGCATGTAGGCCTGGTGCGTTTCAGCGCTGTTTGGGGAAAAAAGAGAGAGGGAGAGACAGAGAGAGAGAGAGAGAGACAAAGAGAATGAGTAAGAGAAAGAACGAAAATAGAGAGAGAGAGAACAAAAAACAATAAGGGAGGGAGCGGGGCGGGAGAGAGAGATATAGAGAGGGAGAGAGAAAGAGAGAGAGAGAGAGAAAGAGAGACGAATTGTTGAGCATTCGAACCTGAGTCTCATTATAGCGAAACAAATGCGGAACAGATCAGATCCAGAGGGTTCCGATTGGCTTGTAAAATTCAATCAGCAGACGTCAGGTCCAGAGGATTGATGAATTTGTAAAGACCTAAAAGTAGTTCAATCGGAATGGGGCAGCTAAAAAAGCCAGGGATCCTCATTATCGTATTGTGTCCTGCTGTATGGATTATCTTTGCGTTTTCTGGTGTATGCACCATCTTACTGGTTCATTACGTGCTGTTTGTCATATTGTTCCATGTTGTGCGGGATCCCGTTTGTTTCCTGTTGAACGGGTTACATGATTGATTCCTGTTGTATAGTATATGATTGTTTCCTGGTGGATGGATTATCTCTTTGTCTCCTGTTGTATGGAGTATATCATTGTTTCCTGGTGTATCGTTTGGTTCCTGCTGTATGAATATGATTAGCGCGTGCTAATGTAATGTGATGAATCCCAAAAGAACTTAAAACTATCAGAAAATGCACCCAAACACCAAAAACGCATGATAAACGTACACACAAAAAAAAACCTAAAACAAAAACGCATGATAAGCGCCAAATAATACAAACGAAAATGAGCAACAAAACCATGGCGCGCTCCGACAACGGATCACCCACACAGAAAAGTGTGAGACATCCCTAAGGACAACTAACAAAACACCATGCGTGTCTGCGCGAGCATTGACACCTGCTCTGGCAGCTTGGATTTGGGGGTTCTCCGGGCACCCTGGTCAAGGATGGTGACCTAGTATTGTTGACACCTCTCATGCGTTTGTTTGCATTATTTGGTACGTCTCAGGCGTTTGTGGTGTCCATGTGCTGTGCGTTGGAACTCTCAAGCGGTCTATGATGTTGGCATATGTTCTGCACGTGTCATGCGTATGTTGGGTTTGGTCTGTTTTCGGGCAAGTGGAAAATGCAAACAGTAAGAACACCTGGGCAACTGGAAACAATCAAAAAAAACGACTACAAGGAACAGAAGGAGAAGAATACATACAACGGGAAACAAATAGGGAACCCATACAACAGGAAACAAAAAGGGAATCCATTCAACAAGAAACCATAATATTAGCAACACGGAAGGAATCAGAAAGAAAATTCATATAACAGGAAGCAACCAGAACAACAAACAATAAGAAAACTCGTACAACTGAAAACAACAAATTAGCACAGAAGGGCTCAGTAGGAGAATGCATACAGCAGGAAACAGCAAGACAAAATAGACAACCAAGTACCATCAGAGAAACCATACAACAAGAACCCATGACATAATCAGCATATAAGGAATCAGAGAGGTAATATAATCCATACAACAGAAAACAAGAAGATAGCCCGTGCAACAGGAAACAGTTAGAGGACACAACAAAAGAAAACCGAAAGATAATCATGACCGAAAGAAACAACTAGATAATCAACGCAACTGCAAACTATAGGACATCGATGGAGTGTTCCTCATCCTTATTATCCTCTTCCTCCTCACCCTCGTCATACTCCTCTCTCGTTCTCTTGCTCTCTCTCTCTCTCTCTCTTCCTCCTTCACTTCTTCATTCCTTAACAAAAACACCTAAACCGCCCAAGCCTGCATGCACGCTCCAACCCCTCCGTCTCCTACTCCTCCTCCTCCTCCTCCTCCTCCTCCTCGAGAACGGGGGATTGTGGAGTCGCAGGGGTTCAAAAGCGCGCGCGCGAGGGTTTCGCGCTGAGTTCGCGACTGTTTCTGTGCAAACTCTGCTCTGTGTCGCCCTCCTCCTTCTCCTCCTCCTCCTCCGCCTCCTCCTCCTCCTCCTCCTCCTCCTCCTCCTCCTCCTCCCTCTCCCCCTCCTCCTACCTCTCTGCCTTTTTTTTTCTCCAGGCGCCCCCCCCCCCCCAGGAAAAAAAAAACCTAAAAAAAATATCAGTGCTTTTTTTTCTGGGGGGGGGGCGCCAGGAGGAAAAAAAAGGAATGCGACGTGGCCACATCTGCCCTCCCCCCTAGAAGGATTCCTATTGGACGCCCCCATAAGAATGATTCACAGTGAAATCCTCGACAGAAGGGTTCCTATCGAAACCCTCCACTGAATGATTCCTACCGAAATCCTCCACATGTGGATTCCTACTGAAACCCTCCACTGAATGATTCCTACTGAAATCCTCCAATGGCAATGGCAATGGCAATGGCAATGGTAATGGTAATGGTAATGGTAATGACAGTGGTAATGGTAATGGTACTGGTAATGGTTACGGTAATGATAGTGGTAACGGGGTAGCGATTGGCAATGGTAATGGCAATGGCAACGGTAATGGTAATGGTAATGGCAATGGCAATGGCAATGGGAATGGCAATGACAATGGCAGTGGCATGGCAATGGTATGGCAATGGTAATGGTAATGGTAAGGGTAGAGGTAAAGGTAGAGGTAATGGTAATGGTAATGGTACTGGCAATGGCAGTGGTAATGGTAATGGTAATGGGAATGGAAGTGGGAATGGGAACGGGAACGGGAATGGAAATGATAGTGGTAGTGGTAATGGTAATGGCACTGGTAATGGTAATGGTAATGGTTCTGGAAACTGTAATAGTAATGAGAATGAGAATGGGAATTCTAATGGTAATGGCAGCGGTAGTATCATGGTAATGGGAATGGGAGTGGAAATGGTACTGGCAATGGTAATGGTAGTGACGAATGGCAATGGCAATGGTAATGGTAATGGTAATGGTAATGACAGAGGTAATGGTAATGGTACTGGTAATGGTAATGTAACGGTATTGGTAATGGTAAGGGGGTAGCGATTGGCAATGGCAATGACAATGGCAACGGTAATGGTAATGACAATGGCAATGAGATTGGCAATGGCAATGACAATGATAATGGCCATGGCAATGACAATGGTAAGTGTAATAATAATGGCAATGGTAATGGGAATGGGAACGGGAATGGGAATGGGAATGGGAACGGGAATGGAAATGGTAGTGGTAGTGGTAACGGAAATGGGAATGATAAGGGTAAGGGTAAAGGTAAAGGTAGAGGTAAAGGTAATGGTAATGGAAATGATAGTGATAATGGTAATAATGGTAATGGTAATGGTAATGGCATGAGAATGGCAGTGGCAATGGAAATGGTACTGGCAATGGTAATGGTAGTGGCTAATGGCAATGGCAATGGCAATGCGAATGGTAATGGTAATGACAGAGGTAATGGTAATGGTACTGGTAATGGTAACGGTAATGATAGTGGTAACGGGGTGGCGACTGGCAATGGCAATGGCAATGACAACGGCAACGGTAATGGCAATGGCAATGGCAATGGCAATGGCAATGGGGATGGCAATGGCAATGGTAATGGCCATGGCAATGGCAATGGCAATGGTAATGGTAATGGCAATGGTAATGTGAATGGGAATGGGAACGGGAACGGGAATGTGAATGGGAATGGGGGAATGGGAACGGGCATGGAAATGGCAGTGGTAGTGGTAACGGAAATGGGAATGGTAAGGGTAAGGGTAAATGTAAAGGTAGAGGTAAAGGTAATCGTTATGGTAATGGCAATGGCAGTTGTAATGGTAATGGTAATGGTAATGGTATTGGGAATGGGAATGTTAATCGAAATGGTAATGGTACTGGCAACGGTAATGGTAGTGGCGAAGGGCAATGGCAATGGCAATGGTAATGGTAATGGTAGTGGCGAATGGCAATGGTAATGGTAGTGGCGAATGGCAATGGCAATGGCAATGGTAATGGTAATGGCAATGACAGTGGTAATGGTAATGGTACTGGGAATGGTAATGGTGACGATAACGGTAATGGTAATGGTTATGGCAATGGTAACGGGGTAGCGATTGGCAATGGTAATGGGAATGGCAACGGCAATGGCGGCAATGGCAATAGCAATGGCCATGGCAATGGTAATGGTCATGGTCATGGTCATGGTAATGGTAATGGTAATTGGAATGGGAATGGGAATGGGAATCGTAGTAGTAATTGGAACGGGAACGGGAATGGAAATGGTAGTGGTAGTGGGAAAGATAATGGCAATGGTAATGGAAATGGTACTGGTAACGGTAATGGTAATGGCAATGATGATGGGAATGGGAATTGTAATGGTGATGGCAGCGGTAATGGTAATGGTAATGGCAATTGTGTTGGTAATGCTAATGATAATGGCAATGGTAATGGTGGTGGCGAATGGTAATGGTAATGGGAATGGTAATGGTAATGGTAACGGTAATGGTAACGGGGTGGCTACTGGCAATGGCAATACCATGGCAATGGCAACGGCACTGGCAATGGCAATGGCAATGATAATGGCAATTGTAATGGCAATGGTAATGGCACTGGCAATTGTAATGGCAATGGTAATGGTAATGGTAATGGTACAGGTAAAGGTAAAGATAAAGGTAAAGGTAATGGTAATGGTAACGGTAATGTGAATGGGAATGGGAATTGGGATGGGAATGGTAATGGTAATGGTATTGGGAATGGGAATGGAATGGGAATGGGAGTGGGAGAGATTGAGAGAGAGAGAGAGAGAAAACGAGAAAGGAAACATCAGCATAATGATGAGGAACAAAGTGAAATATCGTAAATTTTCGTCTAAAACCCACAGCGACTCCACAATCCCCCGGCCTCTCCTCCTCCTCCTCCTCCTCCTCCTCCTCCTCCGCCTCCTCCTCCTCCACCCCATCCTCCTCCTCCTCCTCCTCCTCCTCCTCCTCCTCCTCCTCCTCCTCCTCCTCCTCCTCCTCCCCCACCCCATCCTCCTCCTCCTCCTCCTCCGAGTGCTCTCCTCATGGTCGCGGCTGCACACAGCCTGGAAAACTGGCGAGGACGGACCACGGGCGGGGTGCGTCGTGCGCATTTCTATCGGGGCCTGGGGGAAGATCCGGTCGCAGGAGCCTTCCCGGACCTGCCCCTGCCCTGTCTCGGCTTCGGTGGCAGCTCATGGGAGCCTTCCATACCATCTTGTCGGCTCTTGCGAATCGACGCTAAATCGACGCCAATCGACGCTAAATCGACGCTAGTCGACACTGACCGACGCTGAGTCGGCGATATTTCATCGACTCCCATACGGCAGTCGACGCAAATCGACGCTAAAGACGGAATTAATAGGGTATCTCAGGCACCCATGATTGGCTACCGAACTCGGCCACAAGCAAGAGTGAACCTGGGTAAGAGTGACCTTTCGTGCGCGGCTTTCGGGGAGCCGCGGGGGGGGGAGCCAAACCCAAGCGCGGAGGCCGCTGCTGTCGCATCGCGTACGGCGACCGGGGGGCCCCAGTGACTCAGTGGGCCCGCACCAAAGGTCACTCCGGCGAAAGGTCACTCTTGCGTGTGGTCCACTGTCGCACACGCGACGCGGTGCTATCGCTGGCCCTTCAGAGCGCGCCCCGCCGACAGCCGCACCGGGCGCGCTCAAATGCCCTGCACGGGGCTCCTCGCCGCGACAGGGCGTGCCGGGAGGCGGCAAGCGGGGAGCGTTAGGTCGGGCATGTCCTCTTGCAGGCGGGCTTTGGACGAAAAAAGAAACATGGACAAACAATATTCAAAAATACACCAAATACTCGAAAAATCGTCCCCTGACTATTTTTGCATAATTTTGAATATTCCTCCCGTAGAGGGACATGCCCGACTTAAGGGGAGCACCGGAGGGAGAGCGCAGGCAGCCCCGTTCCAGGCTTGGACCAGAAAACGAAGGGCACCACTCCAGCTACGGCAGGTTCGTGTCGTGCCGACCTCGGCGTTGGTTTCTCACACCGCGAGGATCGTTCAACCGGGAACGATCGGCCGTTTCCGAAGCGTCAGATCGTTCAACATCGACCGACTCTGGGTCGCTGGCGGGATTCGACGTTGAACGCCAGCGACGGGGTCGCCGCCGGTCGACACGACGCGAACCTACTGTACGTCCCCGCGGGCCGTAGCATATATACCATGACCTCTTGCCTGGGCTTTTGCGTGGTATGCGCTACGGCCCCCGATGGGCCGTGTCGCAAAGTGGAGGGCCGTGGGCGGGGTGGTGTCGTTTGCTTTGTTGGTCGAAGATGGAGGCTCGACGGAGCAAGCACGAGGGATCCGAGCGGCACGCCTCCCTCTCTCCGTGTGCCTCTCCTCTTCTTTCCTCTGTACACCCCATGCCGCCCTATGCTCTCTGACATGTACTCTATGCATGTACTACATCAATCTTCCACGTATATAGCTATCTAACAGTGGTCGCACATGTTTCCTCCATCTCTCTCTCTCTCTCTCGCTCTCTTCCGTCCCTCTGGCCAACTCGTGACTAGGCATCAAAGGACCCCGAACCCTTTGGAAGGCGACCTAAGCACTAAATTACGAGGGCCAGAAACAGTAGGGATAGTGGGTTTTTTTCCTGCTGATGCACCGAACCAAACCACCCAGATTCGTTATCCCTAATGCCTAATGCAAAGAATTCACTGTGTTATCAGGGCTCAGTGTTAGGGGTTCTTCAATTCTCGATGAACTCTGCTCGCAACGTTCTGGCCCTGGTAGTCTTTACGATCAAAGACCCAGGCGCTAAGCCACAACCAAGATCTCCAGAACCCCTGAGCATTACGCTACCAGGGACTCCAGAAACGGGGACCAAAAAGCCGGAAACCCACCAAACACCAAACCTTTCACTGCCGGGGACTCCAGAATCGAAAACCGGGAACCTTAGAACCCAGCCGCCCACCGAACCTTGACCCCAGGAACTCAGCCAACGTTGCACTGCTGGGAACCCCAGAACCGCGGGAACCAGGGAACTCCGACCATACACTGCTGAGAAGCCCATCACAAAGAACAAGAAACCCTGGAACGAACCCGGGACAAAGAACCCGCGAACCCAACCGCATACCGAAATCGGCCCGGGACTTCCGCCAAATCCTTCAAAATCCGCGAGGACCCTGTCAGTGCAAGCACTGATTGGAGAACCATGAAAAAGACTGGAGGATGAGGAGAAGGAGGAGGAAGAGGAGGGGGAGAAGGAGGTGGAGGACGAAGATGAGGCAGGAGGGAGGAAGAGGAGGAGGAGGAGAAGGGATGTTCCAGGAATGTTCCAGGAAGAGGACGACGAAAGTCCACTAGCCTACTTTACTGCTGCAACCGTTGGTGCCCAGCCTCAAGAACAGCCTTCGGGGGGGCCCCGATGGGTGGGGGTAGCGACCCGACTTGGGCATCGCTAGATTGTGTTTGCCCCTGTGGGTTGGGCAACACGCTTCCAAGAGCTGTCGAGGGTCGGCGGCGCGACGAAACCCACACGTGCTGCAGAAAATTAGACAGTACTTATGAAGGGGCCCTGGGACACACAAATGAATACACACAAATAAAAATATTCCCCATATTTTCACATATTTTCTGGGTTTTTGTCTTCCCCCCCACTTCCCATATTTTCCCATATTTTCCAGGGAATCGACGATGAATTGTGTCTGTGTTTTTTCCTCTCCTGAACTTACTCCAAGACTGAAGCATGTGAGATGACTGGAGCTCTTTGCCGCCCCCAACCTTGGCCCCTCGGATCGGCTCGAATTCCCGAGCACGCCACGGACCACAGGGGGACCCACAAGCCTGAAGAATCGAATCGCGATTCGAAAAACACGAGCAAGCTGCGCAGCAAGACTTACCACCCACACGACACCACCGATGCTCCGAAGCCCTTGAAAACCCTCACCAACTTAGGAAGGGGCTTCACCCTCTCAACCGCCGGGCGCTCAGAGGTCCAGGGATCCGAACTTATGGACAGCCCCAGGGCCCGACGCGCGCGCCGACAGGTTATCAACGCCTCGGCGCCCCTTCCGTCGGCGGGGGGAGCCAGCGAGCACGGACTTAGTCCAAGACGATTCTGCCATAGCCCCCGCTAGCGCATCGGCACATTCATTGCCGTGCACTAGGAAGGCCTCGTCACGATCACGGAGCGCGGCCTCCTTCTGGTGGGAGGCCACCCATGCAACTTCGACGCCCGCTGGCTCTCCGGCTCGCAGCGCCGCAACAATCCTGGCCCACAGGTCCGCATCGACCCCCCCCTCGAGGCGCTCAAAACCAAATGTCCGACCTTTGGCCCAGGAACTCAAATGGGAGAGGCGGTCAGTTACAAATCTTAGTCGGCCAGGGATCGCGCCCAAAGCGTCGGCGAAGGCGGCGGCTCCTTCCTTGGAGGGCGGCCCACTTGGAGGGCGGCCCCCCCTTCTTGGAGGGCGGCCCCGAAACCCCAGACCGCCTTCCACTGCTGCCGCTCAGGGGCCAGCGCGACAACTCCAGAACCAACCCGTCGACGCCGAAGGTCATCCGAGAAGCTCCCACCCGACCCATCCCCGAACCCAGCGGCGAGACCTTCGGCGTCTCCGGGGATGTCCTGGGTCGAACCGAAGTGAAAAGCAAAGGGAGGTCGATCATGCAAAGTCGGGGCCGTCTCCGCCCGCCTCGGGACCCCTCGGAGCCACGAACTCGGAGAATTCTCGAAGTTGGCTCTCGCCTGGGACGAGAGCACCTCGGATTTCCCAAAGTCTTCGTGGCCAACGTTGGCCTCGCACCCCCAAATACGGCGAAACAAACTCTCCGGTGCCCTATGGCACCTTGGACAGAGGAGGCTGGGGACGTTGCACCCCGCCTGGCTCAGCCTCTCTTACGTCCACGGACCGCCCGCCACAACCACTACGTGCAGCGCCCAGACGTCGCTCGCGCCGTCGACTCTGAGGCGCCTCCGCTCCCTGCGCACCTGAAACATATCGGCGCTGCCCTGCAGGTCGCCACTGTCGAAGTGGTGCGACGCCATGCCCCAGAGCTGCCTGTCCACCGGGTCCTCTAGGTCGTCTAGAATATCAGTGAAATCTCCATGGAACAGCTCGAACTCTGCATCCGCACAAAAAGGAATCGCCCATGTAGCCTGGCCCGACTCCCACTGCATTGAGAAATGTGGCGCCCATGCAATCTCAAACAACGCGGCCACTGCAGCTCCGATCGGCCCCTTTACCAGTCTCCATCGTCTCGACCCCGATAACAGCAGCCCCATTACGAATGCTGTCCCGTGCCAATGCAATACGCACGTGAAGTTCAAGACTATCTCGCCACATCTTGAGCCATGAGTACATGTGCCCACGACGCATGGAGTTCGCAGGGTCTTTGTTCATGAAGACCATAGCTAGTAATGCGGTCAAACAACGTCCTGGTGACAAGCCCACGGAACACTGCGCCGCCTGTCGCCGTAACTCCATCATCACGTGGCCAGGTAGTCCGCAAGGTTGACGCGCGCAGGCGATCTGCGGTCTAGCTCTCATGGCCCACAGCGGCGACGTGATGCTTCGTAGCTTGGCGCACCCTCTCATCCTGCGTATTACTTGGGATTGTTTTTTCGCCTTCGCCATACGCTCATTGGCCGTTCTACAGGATCTGCGTCCCCCAGCCGCGGTGTCCATCCCGAGATCGGCCGCTTCCTTTGTAGATGTGACTGGGGTCCCTGTTCGTCGAAGTCCTTCTGCGACTTGACTCGCAATACTCTTAGCACATCCCAACACAACCGTCTTGTCCCTGACGACGAAACCTGCCTGATGAAACAGCTCACACACGTGACTCCCAACCTCGATCATGACATCAATGGATTGCCTCTCTGCGCCTTCCACTCGCACAACCGCGTCGTCCACGAAACTGCGCAGCATCATCTGTATACCATGTAGTCGGCGAGGTCCCTCCATCATAGGCCCCATAAAAGACTTAGCCATTTGACCGCCATTGAGAGACACTGCAACGAAGCCTCGCCGCGACCGAATCTCATGCGAAATCAAACTGCGATGTTTAAGCACGCGTGGGGCAAGGCACACCTGCAACTCCACCAGAAGCACCAACGCTGGAAAACCTGGCGTCAGGACCGCCGCGAGCAATTTCGCAATATCCAGACTGTCGTAAAGTTTCTCGATGTCCAGCAACAATGTCGACAACGACATATGCAACTCTCGCGCTGACTCACCCAGTAGACTCCGCACGAATGCCGCCTGCAATGCTGGCGACCCGCGCGTCGCTACACCCCAATGCTCATCTGCGCCGCCTGTCCACCGGAGCGTTTCTGAACAGCGCACCTTCGCCCGCAACTTGACCAAAAAGGGGGGCAGCCCTAATATCCTATCACTTCCACGCGGCTTCGGAGCCACCGCGCCCACGACCGGAAATGGCTGACCTGGCCACGCGCCCAGCTTCTCAACGTCGCGCAGGACATCGCGTAACAGATCCACTCCTCGACGCGGTAGTCTCTGAACTTCCAACGGCCCCACCGCGTCTACTCCCATCGACTTGGTCGCGTCCACGCCGGCCGTGGCTTGGTAGATTTGCCCCGCAGTAATCCCCCCCACTTCCCGATGCAATGCTCTTTTGTGGACGTGCTCCAGGCCTGACATGATCATCGCCCAGTCGTAGCCCTTGCTGCCCCATACCCCGCGCCACTCGTCAGCGCGGTAG